CTGCTGCTGCTGCTGCTGCTGCTGCTGCTGCTGCTGCTGCTGCTGCTGCAGCGGGGGGCCAGACGGCGAGGGAGGGGTAGAGGCGCTCGAACTCTTCGATCTTCTCGTAAGGCGCGTCGAGCCAAACTTCGGGGAAGTCCGGGAGGGGCTGGTACTGCAGCCGGAACTTCTTGCGCTGCTGCTGCTCGCCGTTCGCCGCGCTGCACAAACTGCTGCTGCTGCTGCTGCTGCTGCTGCTGCTGCTGCTGCTGCTGCTGCTGGTGCTGGGGCCGGGGCCCTGCGGCGGGTGGACGAGCTGCTGCTGGTGCGGGTGGTGCTGGAAGTCGGCGGGGGGCGGCAGCTGCAGCTGCTGCTGCTGCAGCAGCTCCTGCTGCTGCTGCTGCTGCTGCTGCAGCAGCAGCTGCTGCTGCTGCTGGTGGGGGCGGAAGGCAGCAGCAGCAGCCTTGAGGACCGCGCAGACCTGGTGGTGGCCGTTGCTTCTGGCGAAGTGCCAGGCCGTGCGGCGGAGACAGTCCTTGAGGCTGGGATCGGATCCCGCCTGCAGCAGCAGCAAAACTGCTTCGAGTCTGTTGTCTCTGGCAGCATAAAACAAAGCTGTTTGTTTATTTATGTCTATTATATTTGGGTCTCCGCCGCACTGCAGCAGCACTGACAAGCTGCCAGTGCGGCCCTCCCGTGCTGCGTAAAAGAGACAGGTCTGCCCCACACTGTCCCGCAGGTTCGGGTCCAGCCCTCGACCCAGCAGGTACCTGCAGCAGCAGCAGCAGCAGCAGCAGCAGCAGCAGCGGGATGGGAGGCGTGGCAGCAATAAAGCAGCAGCAGCAGAGAAAGAGCAGCAGCAGAACAGCGGCGAAACAGCAAAGTAACAGCAGCAAAACAGAAACAGCAGCAGCAGCAGCAAAACAACAACAGCAGCAGCAGCAGCAGCAGCAGCAGCAGCAGCAGCAGCAGGACCTGCAGAGTTCTGCGTGTCCCTCCCTGGCCGCATAGAAGAGGCAGGTTTGCTGCATGCGGTCAGTGGCTTGTGGCTCCGCAACTCCGAACTCTTCAATTAACATTTTGGAAACTTCGAGAGCTTCTGCGTCGCTGCTGCGCTGCGCTGCTTCGAAGAGTGCTGTGGCGCTGCCGGGGCCGTCCGCGAGGCAGCGGCGGGCCTGCTGCTGCTGCAGCTGCTGCAGCTGCTGCAGGTGCTGCGCGGCGTCGGCGCCCCCGGGCAGCGGGTGCTGCTGCTGCAGCTGCTGCAGGTGTGCTGCTAGCTGCTGCAGCAGCGCCTGCCGCAGCACGGCCACTGGCTTCGTCCGCACCATTCCGTAAAAGGCCTTGTAGGGATTTGCTGCTGCCAGGCCCACGCTCCCGCCCCCACGACCGCCAGGGCTACCTGCAGCAGACATCTTCTCCTGCTGCTGCTGCTGCTGCTGCTGCTGCTGCTGCTGCTGAGGGAGAGGGAGAGGGAGCCGCGCCAGCTGCGCGACGCCGCGCGGGGCTGCTGCGGACGCGAAACAGCAGCGAGAAAACGCACCCCGTAAGCTCGGGCAGTCTGCTGCTGCTGCTGCTGCTGCTGCTGCTGCTGCTGCTGCTGCAACTGCTGCTGCTGCAGCGCCAGCTGCAGCAGCAGCACTGCGATCGACCAACCGGCAGCCCCAGCGGCACTACAAACGCAGCAGCTGCCTCGAGAAAACTCCCTAAAAGTAATTATTTAATTCAAAAAAAAAGAAATTGAAAAGGAAAGGAAGTGAAGTGAGCGGAGCGGGAAACCCCGGGAGGTCGCGGGCTGCGCTGGTGCAGCAGCGCTTCCGGGAGCCCCCGCTGCTGCAGCACAAAGAGAAGCAAATAAATAAATAAAAGAACCAAAAAACAACAAAACAAACTTTAATTGCAGCAGACACGCGAAAGCAAACGCCAGCGAATGCATGCCATGCAGCCACAACCGGAGAGGCGAGCGGGAGGGGCTGCGGCTGCTGCTGCTGCTGCTGCTGCTGCTGCTGCTGCGCATGATCCTGCTTCCGCAGCTGCTCCTGGCAGCAAAGTAACTGCCAAAATGCTGCTAATTACCTTTAATTCACTTCTCCTGCATGCAACGAACAGGACCTGTGCTGCAGCAGCAGCTGCGGGTACAGGTAGCAGCAGCTGCTGCTGCTGCTGCTGCTGCTGCGTGTACCCCGCTCCGCCCAAGTGTACGCACACCCCACTGCAGCAGCTGCAACGACTGCAGCAGCTCCAGCAGCCATCCTGCGGCGTCGCATTCAGTTTAAAACTAATTTTGTTTTTAATTTTGAAAATTATTTTCCAACAGATATAAGGCGTGCTTGGAGAAGCAGCAAACAGCAAAATGCCACCACATATTTCCAGCCCCAGTGCTGCTGCGCTCACCTGCGCCTGCATGCACTTTGCAGCTGCAGCAGCAGCAGCAGCAGCAAGAACGACAAACGAATCATGTTGCTGTTACTCTTGCTGTTGCTGCTGCTATTGCGGTTGTTGTTGCTGCCACTGCTGCTGCCGCTGCTGCTGCTGCTGCTGCTGCTGCTGCATTCGTTAGATAATTGGAGTTCTTGAATATGCACTCATCTGCTGCCAGCAGCAGCAGTTTATAAGAGGGGAGGCCTCCATGGGGGTTCCCGTTCCCCAGGGGGAGTTTGTTGGGCCCCAGCTAGCGAACTGGCTAGCTAGCTGGCTAGCCGGCTGGCTAGCTGGATGGCTAGCTAGCTGACTAGCTGGGTGGCAAGCTAGCTATGTGGCTGGCTAGCTGGCTAGCTAGCCAGATAGCTAGTTGGCTAGCTAGCTCTGACGCCAGCTGGCTAGCTAGCTGGCTAGCTAGCTGGCTAGCTAGCTGGCCAGCTAGCTAGCTAGCTAGACTTGTAATGGCGAGATAACTTGCCCTGCGTGGCCGGGAACAGCGAATGCACAGGCTCAAAGAAGAAGACGCTAGTTTGCTTCTTTACTTTATCTGCTGCTGCTGCTGCTGTTGCCGCTGCTGCTGCTGCTGCTGCTGAGTCGGCAGCAGCAAATGCTGTTGCTGCGGCTAACTGAGTTGGCCGTCGCTGCTACCTGTTGGTGCTGCTACGGTTGCTGCTGCTGCTCCTGCTGCTGCTCTTACACCAGCACAAACAGGTGCTGCAGTGCTGCAGCAGCAACTGTGTCTACAGCAGCAGCTGCCTTGCAGCAGCAGCTGCAGCAGCAGCAGCAGCACTTGTTTGTGCCTCTGCATTCTCTGCATTGCTTGGCCGTGGCTAAACCCTAAACCCTAAACCCTAAACCTTCGAATTCTTGAGCCTATCCTATTCCCCAACTAATTATCTACCGCGGCACCACCTCTCTAGGGTTTTAGGGTTTGGGGCGCAGCGGCGAGGGTTTAGGGTTTGGAGCCGAGGGTTTAGGGTTTGGCAGCGGCTAGGGGTTAGGGGTTAGAGCTGAGGGTGTAGACTTTGCTGCTTCACAAAGAACCACTTAGAAGGCACGCAGCTTTGCATGCAGTCAATTAAAGCCCCCAAAACCAGAAGCAGCTTCAGCGGCTCGGCCCACGCCGCCCCTGCCCCGCCCCAGCAGCAGCCGCTGCTGCTGCTGCTGCTGCTGCTGCTGCTGCTGCTGCTGCTGCAGCAGATGGCTCGGCGCCAGGGTCACCTGCTGCAGCCCCAAGAGGGGCGTTTGACCTGCAGTTGTCGGCCCGCAGCAGCACCTGTTTGGTGCAGCAGCGCATGCAGTGGTTCAGCAAGAAAGGCATTTGTTGTCTTTCAATTTGCTGCTCCTTTTATTGTTATTTCTTTTCTAGATTTTCTTTTCCACTTTATTCTTTCTGCTGCTTCCAGCAGCAGCACGAGAAGCTGCACAGCGCCCTCGGGGCCTTTGCCTGCTCCTGGGGCCTCCCATGTCTCTCCAGTTCCCCCAGCAGCAGCAGCAGCAGCAGCAGCAGCAGCAGGTGCTGCTGCTGCTGCTGCTGTTGCTGTTCCTTCTGCTGCTCCTGCTGCTTCGAGAAACCCGCGTTTGCGGTGTACACGCAGCTCAAAAGGGCACTGAAGGCCGCAGCGAGGATCCTGCCTGCTGCAGCTGCTGCTGCTGCAGCTGCTGCTGCGGCAGCTGCTGCTGCTGCGTTGCTGCTGCTGCATCTGTTGCAGAACAGCGAGGCGGCAGCAGCAGCAGCAGCAAAAAGACAAGGGCAGCAGCAGCGGCAGGCACCGCAAACGCGACAGAGACGGAGCAGGATTACAACGAAAGAAGGAATTACAAGCAGAAAAACACAAACACAGCAGCAGCAGCAGCTGCAGCAGCAGCAGAAGCAACAGCAGCAACAGCAGCTGCAGCAGCAACAAAAGCAACAGCAGCAACAGCAGCAACAGCAGCTGCAGCAGCAGTAGCTGGCCCCGCAACAGCAAAGAAATCGAGGCCTAAAAGCCAGAAACAACAGAGCACCAGAAAACAGAAAAGAAAGGCACTGCACATGCCCAAGATCGCTGCTGCTGCTGCTGCTGCTGGCGCTGCTGCTGCTGCTGAAGGTGCTTCATTGCTTGATTTGCATCATCGCTGCTGCTGCTGCTCCATTGCTTGCTTTGTTCTGTTGCCGTTGCCTCCGCCGCTGCAGCAGCAGCAGCCGCTGCTGCTGCTGCTGCTGCTGCTGCGCGCCTGCGGTGTCCATACACCTCAGAGCAGCTCGCAAGAAGGGCAAACGAAACGGCGGATGCGAAGCTTCAGTTCTTTTATTTGATAAAAATAATAATTCTAAATATCTGAAATATTTCTGTTTCTCGATTCAGTAGTTTGGGGCCCCTGTGGGCTGGCCTGCTGCTGCTGCTGCTGCTGCTGCTGCTGCTGCCAGTTTCGCTGTGCTTGCTGCCTGCCGCCGGAGCTCTTGTCGCAGCTGCTCCCGAATTCCTTCAGCTGCCACATTTCTTTCTTTTATTTCTCTTTGTCTGAAGAGCAGCAAGTCCATTTGGTCTCGAGCAGCAGCAGCAGCAACAGCAGCAGCAAGCAGCTGCTGCGCCTTCATATACATGGAGCTGCCAGCTTCCATCAAGCCCCGCACCTCCAGCAGACACAGCGACAGGCTGCGCTGCAGCAGAGCTGCTGCTTCCTCTGCTGCTGCTGCTGCTGCTGCTGCTGCTGCGTCCGACGGCACACCAGCTACTGCTGAAACCGGTGCAGCAGCAGCAGCAGCAGCAGCAGCAGCAGCATCAGCGCTGTCTTGCAAATCTGCACTTCTCCCGGGGCCTTCTAGGGGCTCGTCTTCGTCCTCTAGAGTTGACTCCCTGTTTGCTGCTGCTGCACCTGTCGCAGCAGCAGCAGCAGCTGCTGCTGCTGCTTCTGTCTCAGCCAAGCTACTGTAGCCCTCCTCCTCCTCCTCCAAATTTAGCTCCCGCTGCTGCTGCTGCTGCTGCTGCCGCTGCTGCCGCCGCTGCTGCTGCTGCTGCTGCTGCAGCGCTCGCTGCCACGCCTCTGTGTCGACCCCCCAGAGCCTCGCTGCTGCTGCTGCTGTTGCTGCTGCTTCAGCAGCAGCGCGCTGCGCTGCTGCTGTTGCGTCTAGTTTGGTTGTTGCTGCAGTGAGCCGCTGCGACTGCAGCAGCAGCTGCTGCTGCAGCTCCCTCATAGTCTCGACAAACCCCAGCTGCTGCACCTGCAGCAGCGCCTCCTGAGTGAGGGGCCCCGCAGCAGACACGGGGGGGGCCCCCAGGGGGCCCCCGTGCTGCTGCAGGGGCCCCACAGCCCTGTGAAGTGCTGCTGCTAGCTGCAGCGCAGCTTTGCGCAAAGTTGCTGCTGCTGCCAGCAGCTGGTCTACTTTTTCAGTTTGGGGGTTTAAAAGGAGGCCCCCGAAGGCGTTGGTCTGCTGCTGCTGCTGCTGCAGCTGCTGCAGCTGCTGCAGCTGCTGCAGCTGCTGCTGCAGCTCGAGCTGCAGGTGCAGCTGGCTGTGGGGCGTCTGCTTGGAGCCCTTGTGCCGGCGGTCCTTGTCTGCTGCTGCTGCTGCTGCTGCTGCTGCTGCTGGCGCGTCGAAAGCCAAAAAAGCTTGTGCTGCTTTCACCAAAGACCGCATGCTTTCTAAGACCTGCTCGTGCTGCAGCTGCCTGGCCAGCAGCAGCCTTCCCAAGAAGTCCGGGGGCTGCAGCTGCTGCCACTGCTGCAGCAGCAAACTGCAGAGGGGGCCCCCCAGGGGGGCCTCCCCATCTGCTGCTGCTTTGGCTATTCCTGCTGCTGTCTCTGTGAGCAGCGTGAGCCTTCTGCGGGTGCTTTTGAGGCGCTGCAGCACCTGCAGCCGCTGCTGCTGCAGCTGCTGCTGCTGCTGCTGCAGCTGCAGCAGCGCCGGCTGCAGCACAACCTCCAACGCCTTCTGCGCATCCGCAAGCACTTCTTGCATGGAGGGGCGGTCCCCCAGCAGCAGCACGACCTGCTGCAGCGCAGCAGCAGCAGCAGCAGCAAGCCGCTCGTCCTGCTGCAGCACAGCAGCCACATCCTCAGTCAAAGCTGCCACTTCTGCATGCAGCCCCGCAACAGCAGCAGCAGCACAAGCTTCTGTAAACTCAAAGATGACTCCCAGCTGCTGCTCCATGTAAGCCCTGTCTGCTGCGCTTTGCTGCTCGAGCTCCTCCAAGCGCTGCAGCAACTGCTGCTGCTGCAGCTGCAGCAGCTGCAGCTGCTGCTGCTGCAGCGGCTGCTGCTGCTGCTGCTGCGCTGGCAGCACCTCGTCAGCACCCCCGCCGCCCCCCTCCGAAGAGCTCCAAGACACAGAAGAGCCTGAAAGGTCACTTAGAAATGAAGACCCTTCCCAGGAGGCCTCAGGCTGCTGCTGCTGCTGCTGCTGCTGCTGCTGCTGCTGCTGCTGCTCGCTGTCCATCACTTGTGCAGAGGCCTCCTTGAGTGCCTCGCGAAGCGCCCCCAGCGCTGCTTCCACCTGCTGCTGCTGCAGCGAGCGGGAAACAGCAGCAGCAAACGCATAAGGCCGCAGGCACTCATGGGGTTCCCACTGCTGCAGCAGCAGCAGCTGCTGCTGCTGCTGCTGCAGCTCGTGCTGGCCCTGCAGGCGCAGGGAAACCTGCTGCTCCAGAGAAGCCATAAAGTCCCTCACAGAGTCGCGCAGCAGCCGCAGCTCCTGAACAGCAGCTTCTGCTGCTGCTGCAGCACGGGCAACCTTGGTTTGTCCGAGCATGTGGGGCCCGAACGGCAGCTGCTGCTGCTGCTGCTGCTGCAGCAGCGGCTGCGGCACCAGCGGGTGCGGGACCTGCTGCGGCAGTGGCCGCCGCTGCAGCGGCTGCAGCGGCTGCAGTGGCTGCAGCATGACCGTCTGCAGCTGCTGCAGCTGCTGCAGCTGCTGCAGCTGCTGCAGGGGGGGCTCTTGGGGGGCTGCATGCACAGAGACAAAAGGAGCAGCAGCAGCAGGGGCAAAGGGCCCCCGGCTGGCCTCCCTCGGGGGCTCGTTTGCTGCTGCTGCTGCTGCTGCTGCTGGTGCTGCTGGCTTGGCCTGCATTTTGCCGAACAAAGCCCCCAAGTGGCTGCTGCTGAGGGCCCCCTGCAGCTGCTGCAGCGTCTGGCTTGGCCAGGGAGCAGCAAAGAAGAAACCCTCATCTGCTGCAGCAGAGGAGACACTCGAGAGGGAGACGATCCCCAGGGCCAACACGATCCCCAGCAGGGCGGGCTTCCCCGAGGCGCGGCCGCTGCTGCTGCTGCTGCTGCTGCTGCGGCTGCTGCTGCTGCTGCTGCAGCGGCTGGGGAGCCGGCGCTGCGAGCAGCACCTGCCACCCCGCCTGCTGCTGCTGCTGCTGCTCCAGGCTTCCTCCATGAGGCCCCGTAGCCACATCGCGCCCAGCAAAGGCAGCGGCAGCAACATTTGGGGCTGCTGCTGCTGCTGCTTAGAGGAAGCGCTGGGGAAAGCGATGCATGCGCCAGCAGGTGGAGGTGCAGCAATTCAGGGGCAAAACAGGTGGCAGTCCAGCGTACACCAGCAACTGCAGCAGCAGTTCTGCTGCTGCTGCTGCTGCTGCTGCTGCAGCATCGAGCGCTGCGCCGCGTATCGCCCCCCCAGGCTCGCGTTCCGGCTGTGGCTCGATCTTCGAGGAAAGCTGGACGTTTAAACTTGAAAAAAGCAACTGAGTTCCCAATTAACTCAATACAAATCTCTTTCTGCGCAGAAAAAGCGACGACTGTGGACAAGAGCAACGCAGAGGCTCCGTTGCTCACTACGGGAGGTGTTCGGTCTGCAAGAGCCGCGGCAGCGGCCCAACCGTTGCTTTCTCTTTTTTAAACAAGAAATAAAACGGTTTAATTATTATTTTCCTTCCGTTTTAACCCTTTTTTTGGCGACAAAAATGAATTTTTAGTGGAGGATCGCCCCTGGTCATCCTGCGCTGCGGCGATGCACTCGGGCCCGCAGTGTATACGGACCTTCTGCGTGGAAGCAGCGGATACACCTGGAACACCACTGCACTTTTAACTTTCTTTCTTTTTGCATTTTATAAAGTTCCATTTAATGCAATTTTGCTGCTCCACAGCTCGAGCCCGCGGCTGCTTCTGGAGAGTCCGGAAGAGCCATCCCAGCGGGGAGTTCAAGTTTGTTCAAGTTTTCCTTTCTGCAGCACCAAAAGAATGCTCGAAGAGGTTTTCTTGCCCATCAGACTGCAGATCACTGGAAAGCTTCAGGAAATTGCACTTGGAATGTTCTTCTCTCGCGAAAGAAATCGAAACTGCCTCCATCTTAGTGGGGAAAACACACTTCAGCCTAGCAAGTGCAACTTCTACAGAGAAAGCACTTAAGCCTTTTCCCGAAAGCGCCGCGGCCCAGCCCCTCTAGCAAAAGGGAAAGCCCTGCAGGGCCTGGAGGCCCGGCGGTTTGCTGCTGCTGCTGCCTTGCTGCTGATTTAGTCGAAGTTAATAAAGCGGACTAAGAGTGCAAAGTGTCTGCAGCGGGGTGGGTGTACTGACAGCAGCAGCCCTGCAGCAGCTTCTGAAAGCAGCAACGGCCAGGCCCTAGTGTACAGCCACAGGGGCAGCGTAGGCCAGCAACGCACAGCTACAGGGCTTTCAAAAGGTTCTTCAAAAGAATATTTTCTCAAATTAATGTGGCTTTTAAAAGGTTCTTCAAAAGTCTATTTTTCCTAATTAATCTGACAGACAAGGCCCACAATGTTGGCGCACAACTAATGGACTCTTAAGCCCAAATGGCCTTCTCTGGGCGCTCCCGCATGCAAGGGTTGCTGTTGATGTCAAGACTAGTTTGCTAGTTTTAACTTCGGCTAAAACAAGTATTAAGTGTCAGCACGAAAGGGCCTTCGGAGTGGAGAGAAAATAGAAAAGTTTTAAACTCATGACAGTTATTTTTTCCAAATTCTTTTTTCCAGTTTTCCCCTCAGAAGCACCACTTTATAAGGCCCAAGCGGCTTTTGTTTTGAGCAAACGACTTCTAATTCTTACCCGTCTTTAAATTCCCCTAGCCTGAGTTTTGGTAGGCCTCTAGCAATAACTTTAACTCCGCAAAGTAGAGGCAAACTGCCGTATGCTGCCGCTTGGATAAGCTTGCAACAAGCGCGCCAGAAGAAGGCGAGAAAAGCCAATTGCTGCTGCAGTAGGTTAAGATGTTAAGGGCTGCAGCAGCTAACTGCAAGCAAATGCTCTTGAATGGATTCCTTTTAAATGCATCCCCAGAGCCGCCACAAACTGAAAAGACCGCAAAGTGCTGCAGGAGTCTGTGTCCTCCGCTGGAGATCTCGCGAGAATAAGTCTTTGTTGGAATGCCACATTGTGAGATACGTTTTCCAATTTCTGGTTTTTTGATTGCCTTTGTTTGCTTATTTCTCCCACATTCTAGCGAGGAGCCTTCATATGTCGCAGTCCCAGGCTGCCCCAGCTCACGGACAGCAGCAAATAGCCAATAAGCCACGCAGCAAAAGGCCCGGCACTTCACTCCAGGCCTGTCTGTTTTGGCCTAGAGAACAGCTCAGTTATATTAGAGCGAAACTCTGAGACCAACTACGCGCAAGCTACACCACGCAACTCAGGCACTCGCATGTCCCTATATTTTGCAGGCATTTATCTGCTCTTCTCCACTCGCCTCGACAGTCTCCCTTGCACTTTTTAAAACAAAAGCAGCTCTTTTCGACAAGGGCTACGCACAGACAGGCCACACGAACAATCACAAGTTCTGGCTCTCCTTTATTCCCGGCAACAGCCAGCTTCTACTCAACTTCATGGCCCACCAGTTTCACCCAAAGGCACTGGCCAGGCTCTCCTGGTAGTAGAAGCCTTGGCCCAATCTGTCACTGAATTGGCTAAGGAACTATCAGGCTTGGGAATGCTGCCAGCTCTGCGTGGCCCCGAAGGAAAGTTTGGAGGCGGGCTCTCTTCTCCGCAGTCTTCTGAGACGAGCTGAGAATGTGCCGTTTTGACTCGGGCGACTGCCTGGGCTTTCTCTGCTGTTTGTCGGACAAAGCCGCCTCGGCACTGAGACCACAATTTCCTAGAAGACCCAATGTGGCACTGTTAGCTGCTGCCAAAATAGCCCCATGCGCCTCAAGCCCCAGAAGCGCTGGTTCGGGGGGCAGCTGCTGTCGGACTTTAACACAAAACATGCAAGTGACTTCGCAGGTTTCGAATGTTCTCTAGCTTTTACGAAGTAAACCCGAGCAATAAGACTTTCTTTACCTGCTAGCCTAAGCAGGGCTTTTGCCTGAAATCTTTTTGGTTCAAGCTGCTGCCACTGCATGCAGCCCGGCCCCCACAGTAGCGCAGCAGATAAGGAAAAGCGACTACGCAATTTTTTGCTTACTCGAATATGTGCACAGAATAGAGATGGCTGTCGAAGAGAAGAGCCTTTCACAAATGGCTGCGTGCTTGCAGGGGTATGAATGCATGCAGTGTAGTGGGAATCACTACAGTGTAGCCCAGAAATGGCCTTCAAGACCATCTAACTCAGAATCTGTGGACTGAAGGAATAACTGGAAGTAACAAACATCCAAAGGAAATAAGTTGTCCAGTGGTCAGGCCAGTGAGCGCTGCAGCTATGCCCGGGGCTTGGGGCTGGCAAGAGGCACTGAAGCTGCTCTGCAAATCAGGCGCATGCAGGAGAAGAAGTGTCCGGCAGACAGCCAATTAGTCCTTGAAAATGGATCTAAAGTGATGCTCTTTGGGTCCTTTCAAAACTCAAAGGGGGTCTCGAAAATGCAGTGATAAGTATGAACCTTTGTAGCCACAAAGGAGAAACAAGTACCATTTATGACCCCTTGGGGCATCTGTGGGACTTCAGGGGCTCACTAAGTACTAGTTTGGCTGCTGCCTTTTTCCCCCGTTGCAGTTAGACAGGTTTTGCCAATAAATACACTTTGAAAACCTCCCCAAAAGTCTAAAAAAGCCCTTATTTTCGGCAGGGGTCCCACGAAAGATGTTTTCTTTTTGCGCTGGCGCTCTTTAGGGGGCCGCGCAGTTCCAGAGAAAAAGTGCTTTTTGGAAGCTGCTGCCTCCAGATCTTCTTCAGATGAGCCGCTATTCTCCACACAAAGACAAAAGCTGAGGATATTCCTGAGGGCAAATACTTGACTTCTCGTGCTTCTATAGGAGAAGTGCTCTCGGGAAGTCCTTCTCGCTAATGGCGCTGAGCTCTTTAGTACAACTGAAGTCAACTCGTGACAGAATATTCCTAGAGGCAATTGAAACAAGCACAAGTTGGAAGTGAAAAGCGAAACCCATGAGGCATGCAGCAGCAGCAGCAGCTCCAGCAGCAGCAGCAGCAGCACCGGCAGCAGCAGGGGAAGTTTATAGCTAGAGAAGCTCCAAACTGCTCTAGTTTCCTTTTGAGAATTGCTGAGTCATAAGAACTGCTGCTGCTGTTCTCAGAAGTCTGCTGCAGCAGCAGCCTCGAGTTCAGCGCAGAGGCCAGCTGCAGCACATCTGAATTTTAGGGATACAGAAGAAGCAAAGGAAAGCAAAGAAAAACAAAAGTGGAGAGAAAACTGGCAAGACAGAAAAGTTGAGATTGCTTAGGGTGTCTGCAGGCAGCAATTTTGCGCAGTGTCTCGTGAGAACTAAAAGTGCATGCGTTTTGTTCAGATTTTATTATCAGATTTTATTTTAAATGTTTGTTGAATCTTTTTGTTTGAAGGAAAGGGACTTCCTCCCAGTGGATGAGTGGGTGAGCTTTCTGGGGCGGTGAGATTCTGCCGCGGGCGGTCCACAGAGCCGCAGTCAAATTCTGAATTGCTGGGCTAAAACCGAAAACAAACTTTCAGCTTTAATGAATATTCAGATAATTAAATTAAATTGAAGTAAATTGGCCTCCACTTATCGGCAGAGCTCGCGCTTGTTCTCCACTGAATGAATGGTGAGGGCGCAGTGGACAGGTGGTCAGCCGGGCGGCGCGAGCAGCGTCTTCACCAGCCTCACCAAACTGCAAAGACCCTAAATAAGAAAAAACTAATAAAAATATATAATCGAAATAAAGGAATACAAGCGAAAAAGAGGGAACTGCAATGGAAAAGTGCGCAGTGTACGTACACCGCAGGAAGCCCGAAGCGGGGAGTGCTAGCGAGACGGTGAAACACGAGTGCTCGGCTGGAGTTCTTAGGCCGAAATAGCAAAAGTCTGGACTTTTTGAAGAAACACACTTAAAAAGTGTGCGGATCAGGATTTGAATTTGTGGAATGCAGCAGAATCGACGGCACCGCTAGCCTAGCTGCGCCCTGAGCTGGTCCAGGGCGGCAGCGGCGGTGGCGCGACTTAGAGGGTTTCCCGCGGAGGATCTGTCGCGAATTTGGGAGAGCAGCAGCAGAAAGCGAAATAATTAGCTTTATTGGAGCGCTGAAGTGTTGGGTGGCGGGCGTCGCTCTCGGGTGTGGCCGCGGTCGCATGCTGGAGCCTCAAGACCAGCGAAGCTTCGCGTCTGCGCGGCGCTGCAGCAGCTCCCCCGTTTCTAATTAGTGCTTTTTCTTGCAATTGTCTTTGCAGCCACCTTTGCTGCTGCTGAGGGCGCTATGTGGACTTGGCAGCAGCAGCAGCTTTCCCTCTCGAAGCCTCGCCCGCGCCGCGGCCCGCAGTAGCGCGCCCCAAGCCTTTGGCTGCAGCGAGGGCTGGCAGCCGCAGCCGGGGGCCACTGGGGGGGCCAATGGAGGCCAAGGCGGGGGGCAAGAAGGGGGGGGCCCCCGGGGGGCCCCCGGGGGCCCCCGGGGCCCCCAAGGCCAAGGCCAAACTCGAACGCAAGTACTCCCTCGTGGAACTCGGGGACTACTTGGTGGGCTCGAACGTGTGGGTCCGCGAGAAGCAGCGGGAGGACTTGTACGCGTTGGCGAAGGTGGTTTCGATTGCGGGGACTTCTTTGAATGTCGAAGTCGAGGGAGTTTCCAAAACGGTGCAGCAAGAAGAATGTTTAAACGCTAATGTAGGGTTTTCTCCGGAAAGCTGCAACGACCTTTCCAAGCTGCCCCACGCCAACGAGGCCGCCGCCCTCCACATCATCCGCGAGAGGTACCTCCGCGACATCATCTACGTACGTCTTGCTGCAGCAGCAGCAGCGCTGCAGCAGCAGCAGCAGCAGCAGCAGCAGCAGCAGAGCTGCAGCAGCAGCTCTAAAGCAGCCTTGGGTTGCGCGCCCGGGCCTGCTGGCTCGCCGTCTCAGCAGTTCCGAATGCTCACCTGCTGCGTGCAGGCTTCAGCTCTCTAGGGTTTAGGGTTTGGGGTTTAGGGTTTAGGGTTTAGGGTTTAGGGTTTGGGGCGCGCAGCCGACAGAGTTGCAGGGGCTGAGTCGCAGAGCGCACTGCGCCGTGCGCCCATTCTCCGCGCTGCGCGCGGCGTCTGCGTCTCGGGCGTGGGGTTTGGGCCTCGGACTAGGGTTTAGGGTTTAGGGTTTAGGGTTTAGGGTTTGTGTGCAGACGTACGCGGGGCGGCTGCTGATAGCGCTGAACCCCTTCAAAGCCATCGCGGGACTCTACGAACCCGCGGCCATCACTCGCTACCAAAACGCAGACACTTCGCGGGGCTTTCCCGCGGAGTTGCCGCCGCACACTTTCGCCGTGGCGCAGTGCGCGATGGACTTGATGCGCCTCGCCCGCGAAAACCAGTCCTGCGTGGTTTCGGGGGAGAGCGGCGCGGGCAAAACGGAAACTGCCAGACAACTTATGCAGTATTTCGCCAGCGATAAGGAAGGCTCTCGAGGTTCTCGAGTGCAAGACATCATTTTGGGCGCAAATCCGGTGCTCGAGGCCGTCGGAAACGCAAAGTTCGCCGCAGTGGCTGCGCCTGTTGCTGAACTTGAACGGCACTTCAACTCAAAGATCCACCCCTTAAACCCGCCGATCCGCAGTTCTCTTAGTCGTATTTCGCGTTTAGTCTTCTTTAGCCTTCAAATTAGTCCAAGTTTCAGGCCGGGAGCTGCTGTTTTCGCGAAGTTCAAAAACTTGAATTTTTGTGCAGCTTTCGCCGCGCTGGCTCCGCGCTTTCTGCATTTCACTTCTTTTCGACTTTAAAACAACCATTTGGCCTTTTATTAACTGTTTATTATTATCTATTTCTGCCTTTTTGTGCTGCTTTCCCCGAATTCAGAACTTTGCGCAACAACAACTCCTCGCGCTTCGGGCGCTTCGTCAAGCTCGAAGTCGCGCCCACAGGAGGCATTCACGGGGGCCTCATTAACAACTACATGTTGGAGTTATCTCGAATTGAATTTCAAGGCCAGGGCGAACGCAATTACCACATTTTCTACCAAATGATCAAAGGGCTCACTGCCGAGGAGAAGGCCAGCTGCGAACTCAAGCAAGCCACCGAATACGAATTCCTCAACAAAAGCGGCTGCTACGAAGTCGAGACAGTCAACGACCTCCAGGAATTCGCAGACGTCAGGCAGCAGCTCGAGTGAGACAGCAGCAGCAGCAGCAGCAGCAGCAGCAGCAGCAGCAGCAGCAGCAGCGGCAGCGGGAGGTGTCGCGCCTGCTGCAGCTACCGTTGTTGCTGCGAGCCCGCTCTGCAGTTCACGCCTAGCACCCACCAGCAGCAACTGCAGCAGCAGCAGCAGCAGCAGCAGCAGCAGCAGCAGAACAGTTGTGTTTGAACGTAAAGTGTCCTTGTCTGGCTGTGTGCTGCAGTTTGATTTTATCCAAAGAAGAGCAGCTGGCTTATTTCAAGGCTTTGTCTGCTGTCTTGCTTTGCGGAAACATTAAGTTCAATAATGTGCAGGCAATGGGCACAGACAAGTAAATACTTTCCTGAGTCCTTCGGAATAGTACAAATTTGTTGCTTTTTGTGTCTGCAACATGCTGCTGCCTTTTTCTATTATAAGTTGAATCATTTAACTTTATTTTTATAGTTTTTTGGTTTAATTTTTCTTTTTGTTTCTCTGCTTTCCTTACCAGATTTGTTTGCATGCACTTTTCTTTTGCTGGTTTTGTGTCGCACCTCTATTTGCTCGTATTCAGCTTTGTGGTTTGACTCTGGTTTCGTTTCTTTATCTGTTTGTTTCTCATTCCTGTTCTCTTATTCATTTAAAAGTTTCATTGACATCTCCAAAGTTTGTTCTTTTCTTTATTTCTTTCGCCTTTTTGCCTTTCTTTCTGCTGCGCTGCAGAGCTGCAAAGCTGCAAAACGAAGGCGACTTCGACAAAATTGCTTCTCTTTTTGGAGCCAAGAAAAATACCTTGCTGGAGGTTTGTTTCGCACCGCATTAGGGTTTAGGGTTTAGGGTTTAGGGTTTGGGGTTTCGGGTTTCCATAACTAAGCGCAACCAACGCCGCGACACATTCACAAACATCCAACTGCGCACAAGCATCTCAGTCCACGAAATCCCGCATTTAAATGCAATTAAATATTCTATTTGTAGAAATTTTAAAGTGGAAAAAGAGAAGCACTTGGGAAATATCGGCGAAGTCCTTCTTTTCTGGTTTTTTTTTGGCTTGCGGGCTCAGGCTTTGACCATCAACACTGTTGAAGTGCGGGGAAACATCATCAAAAGTCCTTTGTCTGCAGAACAAGCTTTGGTGATGTGTCGCTCAATGGCAAAGGAAGTTTACAGCGTTTTGTTCGACTTTATTGTCGAGTCTTTCAACAGCAAAATCAGCTTCGATCACGAAAACAAAGTTTGGATTGGAGTGGGTTCCAAAGAGCCAGGCTGCGAGTTTTGGACATTTAAATAACACAATTTAGCATTTAAATAACACAATTTGGCATTTAAATTATCAATAAATCCTTTTAAAGTCAATAAATAGCACAATTGGACATTTAAATGGCAGACATTTAAATGGCATAATTTAACTTTTAAATAAACATCAAATCCTTTTAAATTCATTTGTGCAGTCGAGCCGCTTCTAAAACTGCATTGGGAATGCGAAATGCAAACTTTCTTTTAAATCAAATTGAGAAAGCTCGTGCAAAATGCATTTCTTTCTTTTGTTTTACATGCATTTCTGCTTCTTTGCATGCATTTCTTTCTTTTGTTTTACATGCATTTCTGCTTCTTTGCATGCATTTCTTTCTTTTGTTTTGCATGCATTTCTGCTTCTTTGCATGCATTTCTTTCTTTTGT